AACCCCAAAACCCTAAACCCTGGAGGGTTAGGGCAAGCTCAAGCCCTGTATTCGCTCAAAAGGCCACTGGAGCGGCCTCCTCTTTGGCTGCCTTGGCCGCTTCCGCCTGACGTCTTAGGGTTTAGGGTTTAGGGTGCCCTTTTTGTGAGGAAGTGGGGAGGGGGATAGAATTCTGGATTTGAGACGTCTCAAATTCAATTTGAGCCAGGCTTCAAAGAAGCTTCAAGGGGGCTTGAGAAGGGGCATCTCCCAGAATTCGGTTCATTTGAAGGTGTTTTTTGTTTTTGGTGTTTGCTCGGGTCGCAGGAGGGGGGTCCGGTTCGGAGATTTGGGGCTTTAGGCCTTGGGTTGTTCGGGGGCTGTAGGATATTGGCAGAGCATTATCTTGGCTCACTTCTGAACCCCTCCTAAACGTTAAACCTTTAGCATCCATAATTAAGTTCATATAGACACCCAAAAAGTTAAAGNNAAAGTCCTAAGAGCCAAGGAGAAGAAAGCCAAGTTATGGTTTACGGCTTAAGGCTTCAGGGGCATTAATCCTCCAGCTCCTTGAGGAGCTGCTCCCTTTGTTCTCATTCGAGGGGTTCCCTCAAGGGCCTATTTCTGTACATAAATCAGAGCTCCTTCAATGGGTTTGACAGGGCTATACAGACTTCAAGGTTTTGGGGTACTTCGGGGGTTTTAGGGTTTCGGGTCGCGGGTTTGGGTTGCTTAACTATTAGGTGTAAGTTCGGCTTACGCGCTAGGGTCCGGCAATAAGGCTTGAAACTGCTTGATCTCCGATAAGCAGCACATACACTAAATAGCAATCTTGTTCCGGCAAAGCACAATAACACCGAAGATATTTGATGGAATGCAATAAACTTGAGCATCGCTGCAACAAATATAACGCTTCAAGAAAATAATGCAAAATTAAAGGGATGTCACTGATCCTGCCAACTCGAAACCGAAAACCGTACCTGGACCCTGTTTCCTAATTGACCCTGAAGGTGTGCCTACATACGTACTTCTAGGTGAAGCTACATGCTAAATACGTACATAAACTCTGTCTTAAACCTTCGGAACTGTAGTTTCAGGAGTGTTGACTGAAAGTCAAACCCAAATCCCAAATTGCTAAACCCTCAACGCCCTTACCCCTAAACCCTCAAACCCTAAAGCTCCGATCCCTAAACCCTCAAGTCACAAGGGCTTGCAGGGCTTAAGATGTTTAGGGCTTCTGGGTTTAGAGCGCTAAATCGAGGATCTTAAAAAGCTTAGGGTTTACAAGGTTTAGCGTGTATAGGGTTTAGAGTTTATAAGGTTNNTAAGGTTTAGGGTTTAGGGGTGTTTGGGTTGTAGGGCACCACTTCGTGAGTAGTGCAACCATGCTTGCACATGATGACACACCTACACGTGATGCTGTCAAAAAGCTTCACTTATGTAGTGGTCCACATCATGCGTCTCTCTGCTGTATGTCCTCTAGGGTGCTTGTCTAGCTTGATATGTCGAATTCTGGTCGAATAACGCGAAGCCTTTGTGACGCTGTTTTGCTTTGTCCGTTTAGGACAAGCTAGGCACCTTGATCACAAGCTGAACCACCCTATCCTGCATCGTGTGCATTCGCCGCGGCACCGATGGCCACCCACATCCACCCACCAACACCGAGCATTGTGAGGTCAGCTGCGGCAGAGGCTCCCAATAGACGAAGTTAACACCACCCGAGCTCAAAGAGCATCAGTTGTGCACAAGGACGCCAAATCCGATCCTTTGCGCCTAATGTCAGATTCCGGCTGTGCACTGCATCGGCTGCAATCCCGAATTTAGTGTTGTGCTGTTCGTGGAACAATATCTATTGACACTCATCTTCATCAACCAAGACATAAATGTTACTCCTAGCAACAATCATACTTATCAAAGTAACACACAATCCGAGATCCACGGAGAGCCTCCTCCTTCCGGGCTTTGCGAATCTCGACAACTCGACTGGCAACCTGCTGAAGCACCGCGAGAAAAGCAGGATTCAAGCGTAGTGAAAAGGACTGAAAAGGGTTTGGAAGTAATGTAGGGGCCTTAATACTTAGAGTGAGGGTTTGTTGTGGGGGCGGGGGTGCCTTATTATGTTCATAGTATAATATACCAAACCCTGTTCTAATTATTAAGGCCCCTATATTGCGGCTTT